ATGGAGAGGGGTGATGGCTGGAAAACAGAAGTACTTTTGAGTCCTAGGAAGTGCAGACTCATCCTCCTATCTTGAGGATTGATTTCATGGTTAGAGAAAGGTACAAGTGCGGTACCTCCATTAAAATGTATCTCTAAGCAAACTACATTCAATAGCATAAATAATTAAACACTATAAACAAATGCCAAATAAAACAGCCTAATAGTGGAGGATGTAGGACACTGGTACTGCATTAAAATAGATCAGGTCTGAAGTGACTGAATTACGCTGTCAGGAAGAGAGGGATATCGATAGTGTGAGGCAATCTCTAACCAATCCAGATAGCACAGACTAAGTTCTCCTGCCAAGGACTGTTCCTCTAAGGCTGTGTCTCAAGTAGCGTGGGGAAAGTGGAGAAAATTGCATTGAGGACGCTCTGAAGTCGCTCTAAAAATTTGTCTGTGCCACCTGCAGCATATCATGCTGGTAATTTACACTGATGGACACTGCTCAAGAGTCTTAATATTGTCTTACATCCATGAGGTCATATTCCCTGAAGTGGCTTGCCAAAAGATGTTCAGCTTTCCATCAGTTTAGTCGCATTTCACCACATTAAAAGATGTTTGTAGAAACAGCACTGTGTTGTGTAGATGACTTTTGCAATCTCTCTAAGACTGATGCAGCTTCATTAATATAAAAGCAGTTTCACCCTTGACTTTGGTGGGAGAATGGCTTTCCTAAAGCTCTCACTCGATCTCTGCTCTGTTATTGAAAGAGTCCTGTTGACTTAATGGCTGGCATCGTGTTTGGAATTTGATAAAATTTTAGACTGTCCATGCACACCCCTTCCCCACCAGGCCAAATTTTAGGTGTGCTACAAGAAGAGGGGAGAAGAAAGATGGTAAGATGATTGGTACAGTAAAACGAAGTTAATTCCTTTGTTACATTGGGGTGTTTTTTAAACATATTCAGTGAAGCAAGATGTGCTTAATATTTTTTCAGGTTGAAGTTGACCTGGGACATTAAATTGCAGCGAAGCTGGGATCTCGCCGCAGCACCTTTTAGCGGCTGAGCAGCAGCAGCCCGGGCTGCCCGCGCTGCCTTGCCACCGCTAACGGGCTGAGAGCCGCCGCGCGGTGAGCTTGGGCACCGATTGCTTTTTAAACTTGCGATTCCTTAAGTCGGCACATGTCGCTATTTGACAGCCTGGAGCATTCCAGCCACTGGTGAACTCGTGTGGCTAATTAATCATGCACTGCTCTGGGGTTTTCCTTTCTCCTCCCCACACCGTGCAGTGCAGGTGGGGCGAGCTCCTTTGCCTCTCGCTGCGTGATGTCTCCCATCGTCACAACAGACAAGCCCCATGTGCTCAGCTGAGGAGCTGAGGATCATTCTTGATTGATTGATTGATTGGGGCAGTTCTGTTTATTCACATGACCAGGCTGATGTGAAGATAGGTAGGTGTTACGATGTCCTTTATGTGTCGGCTTCGTGTATTAAAACTGTGTGATGGGAGCCATTACTACAGGAAGACTGTAAATTCCCAATCTACCAGTATGAGGAAAGAAGACTCTTCCCCACAAGACATCAACTCTCTAGAGACACCAGTTAAGGGGAGCATTAGAAACTGAGATCTGCTGCACTTCCAAGCTCATCTTCAGAGCTGCTTAGGTAATTGTCTTACTGCTACTTTAATGACAGTGAAGTTGACATTGCCCTTGTTAAGTTCATCAAAACACCACCAAGTGTTATTATTTATGTTCTTTTAGTTTTATACCATTGATTTCTTTTTTTCCCTGTGGCGAGACTTAACAATTACATGATTTGTATTTACACACATGATGGGTCAGGGCTCACAGGGAGAGGCAGCACTTCAGTGACTGAAACACAGCCAAATGTTTAGGTGTGTCAATCTTTTCAGGATTGCTGTTGATAAAGATCTTGGAACCAATTTTTTCAATCCGTATTTAGTTTTCTAAGTTTAGCTTATATTATTCAGTTCGGTAATTGGAGACATAAAGGGGTTGGTACTTGTGGAACAGAAAGGAAGTACTGGCAAGAAGAAAGGTGATGATATCATTAACCCCCAGGAGAGAGATAGAGACATAATTATTGGTTGTAGAAGTATGGAAATCATGATTTGCCACAAACCCGATCTCTTACTGAGCCTATAATGTTTAGTATGCAGTAACTGTGAGTGTTAAGTTCTTAAGCTCAGGATCAAGATTTAAGAGGTCACAGCTAAAGTTGTTAATCTGTAAAAAATCATCTCCTTTATTCATTTTCTGTAGGAGCACACAACGGTAAACAAGTTTGATGTTTTCCCCTACAATTTATACAAAAGCATTTAAAATTGTATCACAGACCACAGCTAATACACATTCACTCCATCTTTTTATTTTGATGAAAGGCATTCTTAACTGATTCATGTTGGTGATATTTGATTTCACACTCTTGCAGAGTCTGGCTCCAACCAGTGCACGGAGGTCTGCCTGAGGCTGCTTGCTGCTGCTGAATGGGGGGAAGTTACGGGATTATTTGAAAGCTAGGAGCTCTGCTTGGGTAGCATATGTCAAACGAGGACGAATACATTATTTTGGCAGCATAACTCAGGTAGTCGAGTGGATTGTAGAAGGATATAAAAATATTTGCTCCATTAGACATCCTTTCGGCCTAAAAACTGCAGAACACCAGAGCTCCCAGCATAAACCACACAAGCAAAGCACCTAAGTAGTACTGTTCCCATTTTTAAGAGGAATTGGGAGATTTAATAAATCATTCTAAGGTCGTATAAAACCCTAAAAAAGAACTAGGGATAGAGAGGTTCCTGGTCCTCCTCTTTGAGGAGAAGAACATCCATTCTCCAACTATACACCATGAAAGAAAGGTTGAATTTTATTTCATATGGTTTCTCCAGGAAGCTGTCATTTATCCATACTCACACAGAGCCTTATAAACACTGCTAGTAGTGATGAGGGCAAAGCTTGAAGATCAGAGTTGACAGTTTTTACTATTCCCCAGGTTCTTTAGGGGATTACAGGAAATTACTATTTATTTCATTGATCAAAAGGAAAGAATACAAACATTTAAAATGAAAAATTATATAAAAATGCATTACAATGCATCTAAAGGGAGATCCCCAAGGGTGATAGATTAGATGGCAATGAATGAAGGGCTTATTACCCTCCAGTAAAAGTTGGAAAAAAAATAGGAGGGAAGAAACGGTATCCAACTGGAACATTTTCATGCATTCCTATCTCCATTTGCCTGTACTCATTCTCATTTGAAGCAAACTTTCTCTTTCC